CCTTTGGGCTTGGAATTGAACTCACTCTCATGGCTTCCAGCCAAACAATAGACAGGCATGTAAGGTGAACATTTACACCAGGTAACTACACTCCTTAGAACAATCAATTGTGGGAGATAAAAAGGGTAGTATTTGCACAGGGAGATAGCTCAGAAGGCAAGAATGCATAGGAAAAGAGGACACAGGGAAAAGGTAACCATAGAGAGGAACTGGAAAGAGAACTGTTACATTATGGGGATTTGGAATCAATGTCATGAAACAAAATGTGTATGAACTGCTGTATGGAAAATTAAATTGTTCTGTAAACTTTCACCCATATCATAATTATAAACATGATAATAAAATACACAAAACCAAAACAGAAAGAATGAGAAATATTCAAGCTTTGCGAAGAATGTAACCAGTACACTGAAAAACTTGTGTACAAATTGTTGAATGGAAACAACTGCTGTGTAAACCTTCAATGAAAACACAAATTATTTGGGGGGGGGGGAGCACCAATTCCCTTACAGCCCAAGACTAGACCTATACAAACCTGAAATGGGCAGTAAGCTCCATGTGAGAACGCAGTGTTTGGTGGCAGGCAACACACTTGACCTGAAATGGAACATCTTTGCAAAGACTGATCAAAAGTTTCTTAGCAAAAGATGGAAATGATATTGGATGTGCTATCCCCTTGTCATCTGAAAAACAAAATAAACTAACTTACAAGGTCATTGGCATACAGAGTAAACCAACCTTCCTCCCCTTTGCCTTTCTCAACATCAGTTGGAGTGTTGTAAAGGATGCTGAATTCAGTCATGAATTAACATTTGAGTTGTAAGTGCAGAGAAAACACCAACTTGCAGATATCATGCATATACATTTTCCTGAATTAATGGTTTCTGCCCAAAGTTTCTCTTCACTTCTCAAGTAAGTAAACCGTATTTTTAGATAGAGAAAAATATAGAGAATCTTAAAAAATAGTAAGAAGAATTGATATAGAAATGTTCTACTCTTGTGATTCTCAAACAGAAGGGAAAGTAAACTCAAAAATGATCAGAGAAGCATGATAGCATGATAAATCAGCAAAGATTAAGACACTCTAAATTTTCAACAAGAATATTAACATACCACCCAGTTTAAAACTCTGAAGGAAATGATTCTTTCCAGACATATGCTTCAAACACTCATCCTTGCTGCTAAAAAGGAGGAAGCAATTTGGACACGCAAAACACTGAATAATCTGCGGAAGAAGGTTCTTTTTATGTCCATCATTTGCAGCTTCCTAAAATATAAAGCAGAGTTGTATTACAGACAACTAAAGTCAATATTCAATGCTTAAAATCAGTTTTCAAAAATTTTTATTATCTATTTGAAATATTCCATATCAATTTATTTTGTTTTAAAATAATACACCAATTCCACACTTTCAACATGAACATTTTTGTAACAATGATTACAACCTTCGAGTTGTACAACCATTCTCAGTCCTCTTCTGAGTTATTCCATCATCATTAACGTGGATTCACTGTCCTCCAAGCCCGTATCAACTTTTAATATGAAAACTATTTTTTTTCTCAGGGTGAAGTGTGTAATTTCTTGATCACTGAGGTAATATATGCGAAAATTTATTATTTTTCCATCAAAAGCAAATTATGACTATCTTTCTGCGACAATATAGAAGTATATTTGCTTTCTATGTATTTTTCATTTTTCACAGCCCTAGGTATTACATAAATGCTTAAATGTGATCACATCACATAGGCTTTTTCTAATATTTTGCTTTGTTCCCTCTACTCTGCAAAAAGCTTCATGTTTGTATTTGTATCCTTCCATAAATTTCACCATGTTTAATTATTTACAAAAAAGATGAAGACCTAAATATATGCAGTGAATTGCTTGATGGTGGCCCTTCTAGCCATTGTCCTCCATTCTGTGATGTTTTGTAAATCCCATTATCCATGCCTGTTTGGGGTGGTGTGGTAGTTAAGGTCAGGTATCAACTTGGCTGGGCAGCTGGTAGTAATTAGTCATTTCCTATGATGACTGGCAATCGACTCCGATGGGATTTAGGTTAATTCCGTTGGGGCAACACAGGTGGAATGTATCTTGAGTCCTGCCTTGTTGGAGGGTATAATTCAAATCACCACCCCTAGCTTCCCTGAGGGTATACCTACGAATCTCCTGGGAAGATTCACTCTCCTCTTGCTCCGGCTTTGTGTCTTGGATCATCTTCATCTCACCCCTGATTTGGGACAGCAGCCATCATCTGATCTGCTGACCTAGGTTCATCAAACCCCGAGAGTTGGGATGATCTGCCAGACCTACTCACGGACCTGGGACTCGCCAGCCTGTCAGCCTCCACCACTACTACGTGAGACGAACCCTTGGGTGTCTGTGAGTTCTGTGAGGCATTACAGTGAAATACAGAACCCTAAGACTGAGGAAATTACTGGGAGGAGGAGGAGGAGTTAATGTCTGAAATGATGGAGTGGCATGGTAGTTTGGACATTTGGGACATCTTTGACCTCCGTCTCACGGAGACCAGCCTTGTGCTGATCTTTCTAAGAGAAATTGTTCAAGCAATACACAAGAGAGATTGCCGATGTTTTATCAAACATTTTACATTCCTCTGCCTCTTAATTTTCCTGTTCTACAATACCTAATGATAATACCTAAAAATCAACTCTCATTCTGCTTAATGGTTGTAGGCCTACTTTGATTTAATCAAACATTAATTTTAAGTTTTTATTGTCAACATGAGCAATGATGCCATAAACATCCTCAAATATATGCCCTTACCTTACTGTTCGTGTGTATGAACTGCTGTATGGAAAATGAATTTGTTCTGTAAACTTTCATCCGTTTCACAATTTAAAAAATAATAATAAAATACACAAAACCAAAACAGAAAGAATGAGAAATGTTCAAGCTTTTAATTTTTTTACTTTTTAGCTTTTAACTTTAACTTTTAAATAGTCAAATAGGTGTATCTTTTCTAGTTTCTAGGTTTCCAAACCTAGTTAAGAACCTCCTCTAACCCAAAATCGGGAGGGTGGAGATAAATGCATGTGTAGTTGTTTATGTGTATAAATATAATTTAACTCCTATTAATGGATTATTAATCTTTAGAGTAAAATCCATTAAAGTGGTATCATGTCTTCTTAGATTTACTTTCATTAGCAAAAGGAATATCAAAATAGTTTCTGCTGTGCTTACGAGAAGCAACAGGGGGAGGGATAGAAAATTTACATTTATACTGAAAACCTACCACATGTCAAGCACCACACCAAGGTTCTAAACATGTTTTTCATTTAATCCATATTAATAACCCTGTGAAGTACTATTTTCATTATTTACAAATGAAAAAACTGAAATTCAGATTAAGTCAACCAACTTAACCCCTCTCCCCCAAATTGTACTCCTACAAGAGACAAGCTACCATTCAAACCTAGCTTTATGCCTCTGATAACAAATTGTATATTCTTTATACCACTCTCCTCCATTTTTAATTTGGTGAGTACTACACAGAAGAAAGAACATCCAGGAAGACATTTTGCATACCAAATAGAAGATTCTAAATTGTATGAGTAATAAAGGCATTTACCAGCCACCCATTTATACAAGTGTCTTCTACCTGAAAAATTCTGAAGAGATAACTTAATTTTTAGTTCAGTTGTGGGTTCAATATAAAGCTTGTTAAAACTGTTACTCGAGAGGACCAAAATGGGCAATTAGTATATAGAGTAAAATATATTAAAAATACATATAAAATGAATACAGCCAAACGTCAGTTCCACAATGCATTGGTTCCAGGACACCCTCCCATAGCAAAATCTGCAAATGCACAAGTCATTTGTATGAAATAGTATCCTACTTGTATATAACCTACACACAACCTTTCACATATCCTTCTGTGTATTTAAATCATCTCTAGAACACTTATAATACCTAATACAATGTAAACGCAATGTAAATAGCACTTTACCCTCCTTTTTATTAGCCTTTGAGGGACTGCTTTGACCTCTTAACTTTCTTCCCCTTTGTTCTGGTTACCTAGTGCCACCCTGACAGGAATATACCACAAATGGGAGGGCTTGAACAAACAGGTGTTTATTCTCTTACAGTGCGGGAGGCTGTAAGTCTGAGTTCAAAGTGTTAGGCTCTAGGGGCTGGGTGAAAACCCCTCAACCTTGGAGTCCAGCTCTGCCTCCTGCTCCCAGCCCACTGGAGCTAGAGGCATTTCTTCACTCAGACAGCTGCTGGCTGCTGAGGCTGAGAAGCCCCAAGGTTGACAAGTAAAAATGCACAGTCCCAATGTTACCAAACCACACGGTAGGCCATTAATTTAAGTCCAATGTAAGTCCCAATGTCGGCAGAGCATAGCAGGCTGCTGAACAACAACACGGCTACATGCAGAGTCCATAAGCTAGAGACTATCCCCAAGCCTTCTGCTTATATACAGGAAGCAGACCACATTCCCTAAGGCAGCTACTCAGCTGCTCACAGTAGATTCCACCATGGAGTTGATTACCAGTCTCATCATGGGGAATACTGCATCCAGCTGCCCAGCCTTTCAACCAGGCCCAGCCAAGTTGACACACAAACTGAACTACCACACCCTCCCTGAGTATTTTCAATCCACAGCTGGTTGAATCCCTGAATGCGGAAACCACAGACAAGAGTGCCAACTGTATAGAACATTACTGGAATATACCAAATGAAAAAGTATGGTATATTTGCAAAAGTATAGTATACAAGAACTGCACTGTCAGTGAAGGCAAACACTGATGTACAAGTGAACAGATGGGTGGACAGGCTGAACTATTAGGTATGTCTACGCAGGGAGGAGTATACCATGACCACGTATAGGGTTGGCAGACAATGTTTCTACAAGTGTATTGATATGTTCTGTAACAATTTCCAGGTATATAGTAGAGCCGACTAAAGACAAGGTTGTAGTCACTTCTTGGACACAGTCAGCTACCCAAAGAGAGATAGTAGTTGGACCTGCAGTTCAAGACCAAGTTTGCAGGGGACATCAAGCTCAATTGGCGTAACATACTACACAAAACATTGTTCCATATCCTACTTTGGCAAGTAGTGACTGGGATCTTAAAAGCCTGCAAGCAGCCATCAAGATGCAATGATGGGTCCCTCCTCATCCAGAGCAAAGAATGAAGAAAACCAAACATTTATGGAAACAATTAGTCCACACTACTGGTACACCATGCAATCCTCAGCCTATACGACTATGAGACCACAAGAACTAGATGGTGCCCGGCTACCATTGTCAACCACTCGGAGGGGGATCTATGTAGGAGATGCTGGATAGAGAGGGAGAACAATGTGGAACAAAACTCACAATCATTTAGAAAAAAAAAAAGGGACCAGGTTTGCTGGTCTAATAGAGCCTGATGAAACCAATGAGACTATGGCCCCTAGCTGCCCTTCAGGTCTGGAACTGAACCCACTCCTGTGGCTTCCAGCAAAACAAAAGGCAGGCATATGAGCTGAACATTTACATTAGGTAGATACACTCTTTGGAGAGAACAATCATGGGAGAATACAAAGGCTGTGTATGCACAGTGAGACAGCTCAGGGAGCAGGAGTGTGTGGGAGGGAAGGACACAGAGAAGAGGTAACTATGGAGAGGAAGTGGTAGGGGAGCTTTGCATTGTGGGAAATTGCAGTCAATGTCATGAGACAAAGTGTATGTATGGAAAGTGAATTTGCTCTTCAACTTCCACCCAAATCATACACACACAAAAAAAATTCAGTATACATGCAAAGGGAGCTCTGGTAGCATAGTGCCTAAGGCACTTAACTGCTAACCAGAAGCTGGAGGTTCAAACCCACCAGCCACTCCTCAGAAGGAAGGTTGGGCAATCTGCTTCCATAGTGATACTGCCTCGGCAACCCAAGGAGGGGTCGCTGTGAGTCGGGTCTGACTCAACAGCACATAACAACAACATACATGCAAAATAAGGTCTATTTACAAATACCTTCTACAAACTGGGATAAAGAGTGGAAAACAACATGTCTGGTAAGCTTAAGTACTCAATTCCTTTCTACCATTGTATTTCTACTTACATTAAAGTAAAATATACCAAAGATCCTCTCCCAGTGAAGCCATACAGGATATACTTAATCACTATAGTAACAAATTAAAAGAACACATGTAAAATACTGCCTCTATCTAGGTAACTTCTTACTTACTCAATGCCCAGGATGTTTACTGGAGACTGGTCATGTAGGCAGCTTCTGCTTAGGATTTATCAAAATTCCAAACTCCAACAAGGAAAACGAACGGGTATTTAGCAAATACTACATTGTTTGTACAAACAGTTTAGAGGTAGTGAACCAATTTTAACAGAGAATAGTGAGAATCCTTCCCAAATTCAAGTTTCCAAACATAAGTCAACCTTGCAAACAGGGTTTTCTAACATCTCAGACCTACCATGTTAACTTAGTTCTTCACACTACCTATTTTAGTATTTACTCTTGTGCCCAGAGGCTCTTCAACCTTAGCTACAATTCTACCACTTTTTCTTTCCATCTAAATCTTTCTAATGCTCAAGGATCTTCTCTTCCATAACATTTTTCTATATTGTCTAGCCTACACTTCTCTTCCCTTTCTCTAAACCCCTATTTCAATTTATGTTGTACCATTTAAGTCTTGTTCATTTGGAATGCAAGCTCCTTGTGTGTTAGAATTATACAAAAGAAATACATAGGTGATTTCTCTTAACATACTACAGTTTCTAGTTAGTACTGAACACAAAGTAGGCCTTCAAAAACTAAGGACTGAATGTATAAAAATAGGCTTCAAAGACACCATCTATTCTGGGAATGTTCTCTAATGCTGAGGTAGGGGTTGATGAACTACAGAACTCAGATATATCTGCGAGAACAAGCTTTAATTCTCTGCTATTGTCTGCACAGAATTCTAGATATTACCTACACTACTTTTCAAGCACAGTTCTACATAAGCAAATTCTGAAAACATGATTTTAAAAAAATCCCTACCATCTCTGGACATTAGCATTTTATGATTTCAAAACCTAATTATTTATTCAGCAAATATATCAAGTATGGCTCTTACCAATAGGTTTTCAGTTACCAGGATATTTAATGTTGTTACTGTTTTAATATATAAATAATAAATAACAGAATTTAAATAGTTAATATATCCAATAGGAAATTAATTAATGAGCTATAATATATTCATAAAAAAAGGAGCTCTGGTGGCACAGTGGATAAGGCATTTGGCTGCTATTCAGAAGTTCAGTGGTTCAAACCCACCAGCCACACCACAGAAGGAAGGTGGCGCGATCTATTTCTGTAAAGATTTTCAGCCTTAGAAACCCAGTGGGAGTCGTTATGAGTCAGAATTGACTTGATGGAAGTGAGTTTAGTTTGGTTTGTATATTCATAAAACAGAAGACTATTCACTGATTTAAAATATATGTACTGATCCAACAAACAATTAAGAATTTTTGTTTGCAACACATAGCTTTTTGTAAAATCACAAAACAATGTAGGTACCTTATTTTAGGTACAAATATTTATATGGAAAAGTAGTAGAAACATACATATCAAACAGTCAACTGTGGTTATATCTCTGAGTGAGAACAGGGTGACTTCTTGTTTTCTTTTTGCTGATTATTTTTTAAATTCTCCATAATGAATGTTTATTACTTTTGTGATGCTACTAAGTTATTAATCTAGTGTTATATATGGTAATACATGGTAAAACCCATTACAGAGTTCTGTATTACATGTATTACATGGATTTGCATAACCATTTATCAATTCATGTCCTTTGAGATGTAATACTGAATTAGAATTATATAACACAGCCTTTTTAATACTAGTTCTATTTTTTAATACTAGCATTAATAAAGGAGCTATTATTTATTACATGGTTCCAACATTTGAATAGACAATGAAAGACAGGAGACTTAAGAGAAGAAATTTTTGTTCTCTCCATGTGACTAACTCAGAGAGGATCATGAAAAAGAAAATTTAACTTCACAGAGCAATTCCACAACAGAAGGATTTCAATGACAATCTCTAGGACTGCTGTCTTTTACCTATCAAGCTGCCCACAATAATTTAATGCTCCAAATCATTTTACTTTCAGTATACAATCACAACTTTGAACACTGTGTGTGACAGAAAGCTTAAGAGCAGCAAGAAACCTACACTCACCTCCATGATTCTCTAGAAAAAAATACTTACTCTTATCTTAGGACATGTTCTTACCTTAGCAAAAAGGTGATCCCTGTACTGCTGCTGAGTAACAAATTTTTTATAACATACTACACATGCAAAGGAATTGATGAAAGGTCCGTGCAGTGTAATTGTTGGATCACATGGAGAATGATCAAACCTACTTGGCAAAAGAACAGTAACATTAGAAAAGCCCACGTTCTAGGGGCACAACTATGTTGCTTGATTTGTTAGGCTAAACATGCACACATACACACATTCACAACTTCATACTTCTCTACTGAAATAAGTAATTTAATTCTTTATATTCACTAAATATCAAGAGGCTCCTATATGCCAGGCAATCATTTTAGTAACAATCTCATTTAAGATGTCAGGGACACCTCTATATTTATAAATAGCTTTTGATCTTTTTAATGTTTATTTTAACCATTTAATTAATCTGTCATTTTAAACTGCCTCAAAACTTTTAGTAGTTAAGACAGCATGCTACCCCGTTATTTATACAATGCTGAGGCCCCTCTCAAGTAAGATAAGGCATATGAAGTTAACTACTGTTACTTGTCGTTGAGTTGATTCCGACTCATGGTGACCTCATGTGTGTCAGATTAGAACTGTGTTTCATATAGTTTCCAATGGCCAATTTTTCAAAAGTAGATGGCAGGGCCTTTCTTCCAAGGTGCCTCTAGGTCAACTCAAACCTCTAACCTTTCACTTAGCAGCCAAGCATGTTAACTGTTTGTAACACCCAGGGAACCAAGCAGAGTGAGACATGTAGAAAAGATAGTGGCTTAGAGCACGTCAAACTTCTCATTTTCCCATCTTTGAACTATTGGAATCAAACTCAGGGTGACTGTGAGAATAAGATTCTTTAATGCCTTTAATTCCACTTTCCCCTCTTATCTAATTTTTCAATCTCTACTATTCAAAAATTCAGTATGATAAACTAAGTTTAATAATAGAATATTTTCTTGTTAATTTTTGCTACATTTGTTCTGTTTTTCCTATTTATTTTCTAATGCCATGTTAGCTTTTTTAGGTTGATTAAATATCTTTAAGTGTTCTGTATCTCCTGAAATTGGCTTTTATGAGTTGGATTTCTCTAAAACTGATACAAATACATATCAATGTAAGAAGTCTGTTCAAAATTTTATGAAGACTTATGTGAAAAATTATACACTTAATGACTATATCCATAAAGTAGATATGGATCACTATAAAATCTGACTTCACTAAGGCTTTTAGGAAACTTAGGAAATACAAACTGGAAATAACTGTATCACGATAGCACACAAAAAATTTTAATTTGGAATATAAAGTTATAAATATAAGCATGCTTTCATTTTACAAAATCACTTTGTAACTCATTTGATCTTCAACATACATTATTCTGAACAACATATTTACCTTTTCAAATGTCCTAAGAGAAGGTGCCCATTGTCAAACTCCTTGTTGCAGTACATTATGGGACATGAAATAGGTTTCCTAGACACTCGCATTTGGCCTCCTCTTCGGAATGAGCTTTTTGTTCCAGAATTAATTGTGCCTGTTTTGAGTCCTGCAACAAAAGATAAATTCTTGAGCATCTATTTCATATACTTGTCATTTAGACTAGTAATCAAAACAATGAATATAATGATACAGCATCAACTACATGGCCCTAATTGTAATTAAGTGGTTACAACTTTTCTTATAAAGATAAAACCCAAAAGTAAACAGTTATTTGGGACATGTAAAGCTGTTAACATCTCTAAGTAGCATTCTCTAGGAGAAAAGAAAAAACCTGTTTCCTTAAGTTCCAACCAAGAAATATTAAAGATCAAATGCACTAGAAAATCAGTCCCTCTACAAAAGTACCTACTCCCTTCTTTTTTCATTTGCGTAAGTTGGCAATAATCTTTTCTTCTCTTATTTTCTCTTTTAACTATCGTAAGCACATTAAAATGTTTAGTTATATTATAGATGAGCTGGGTTCTATGGAAATGCTGTTAAACCATATAACTAGGGGTGAGGGGTAAGGGAAGGGAGAAAAAGAAGAGTGGCTATTTTCTGAGGAATCCAACCACTGATCCATCAGCTCCAACTTGGACATCAAGTAACACAAGTTGTTGTTGTTAGGTGCCATCGACTCTAATGCACAGCCACTCTACATACAACAGAATGAAACACTGCCTGGTCTTGCACCATCCTTACAATCTCTGCTACTTGAGCCCATGTCAATCCATCTTGTTGACGGTCTTCCCCTTTTTCATTGACCTCCCCCCACCCCACTTTACCAAGCATGATATCCTTCTCTAGGAGCTCTGGTGGCGTAGTACCTAAGGCATTTGACTGCTAACCAGAAGGCTGGTGGTTCAAACCAACCAGCCACTCCTCGGAAGGAAGGTTGGGCAATCTACTTCTGTAGTGATACAGCCTCAGAAACCCAAGAAGGAGTCACTATGAGTCAGATCCAATTCAAGGGCAGTGTGTCGCACTGCACTGCATCGCACTGATATCCTTCTCTAGGGAACAGTCACTTCTGATAACGTGACAAAAGTAAGTGAGATGCAGTCTAGCCATTCTCTCTTCCAAGCAGCATTCAGGCTGCATTTCTTCCAGGGAAGATTTGTTCGTTCTTCTGGCACTCCATGGTATTTTCAGTATTCTTTGCCAACAGCATAATTCAAAGGCATCAACTTTTCTTCAGTCTTCCTTATTCACTGTCTAGCTTTCACATGCATACAAGGCAAATGAAAATACCATGACTTGGGTTAGGCACACCTTACTCTTCAAAGAGACATCTTAACACTTTTAAGGTCTTAAAGTAACATAACCATCAATCATTAGTTTACAGAACACAAAGCAGAAAGATTTATTTATTATTGTTAGTTATCTCTCCCCTTTTTATTTATCCTATTTTGTACCTTCTCCTTTTTTCTTTTCAAAGTTAATGTCTGCCTGCCATTACCATCTCTTAATCATCTTCTACACTGGTCTATTCTTCATATCTCTTTCTTTATAATCTTGGTAATACAGTGACATAACCTTTTAAATTTTGGCAAAAGTATAGCATAACATATTTCATCTCAACAATTTCCTCAGGTACAATTTGGTGACACTGATTACTTTCTTCAAGTTCTGTGGCCATTCTCACCATCCTTTTCCATAACCACTGACCTCTTAACTCAATGCTTTCTAAGCAAACACTCCCTGTCTGCCTCCTTCCCACCCCTGCTAACCACTAACAATCTTTAGTTTCCACACATTTGCCTATTTCACATAAGTGGGATCATACAGTATTTATCTTTCCACAACTGACTGACTTCACTTAGCAAGACATTTCCAAAGTTCACTCATGTAGTGGCATGCATCAGGACTTCAATTCTCTTTAGGGCCAAGTAGTATTCCATCATGTATATTTCACAGAACTATTACATACAAACCTCCCTGGCCAAATTTTGTTTAGAAGGAAATAACATATGAAACATAACACAAAATTGAGAGTTGTATCATAGAAACAAAGAAATGTAAAACAGCTGGGAGGATTTTTTTTTTTTTTTTTTACAACTGCATTATGAAAACTAAATGTAAATTCATGATCTATGTATCAAGGGTGGAGGCATTCTTCAACCCATATGGGCTTTCTCCTACTGTATGACTTTACTGCCAGTTGTTACAAGTAATCTGAAAACATATCTTTAATTCTTGTCCCCAGCAGTTGAAGAGCTGAGACCTAGCTTTAGTAATGACCAGACAAGGATGGATAGTGAGAAACCACAGGGTAATTGAGGGAGCAAAGATGTCAGTTTCTCAAGAAATTTTAGTAAAGAGAAATACCATGCCTGATTGAATCCTGCTGATGTAATTGATAAGGTCACTGAACATGGCTGTAATACTGGCAAAGAGTTTTGTCTTCATTGTAGAAAGTTGCTGGTAATGGTCAGTCATTATTCACTTTAATGCCTGAAAGTCTTCACCCAAGTCCTCAGGCCAACTTTCTTTCAAGATCTCAGCCTTGCATTTCACTTACCTGATCTTGTGGACACCTTCAACACTAGCCTCAACCTTCTTAGCAAGGCTATCAATCCTGTGGCAAAGCTTGTCGGGTCAGCTTCTAGGTGCTAGGGGTGTGGTTTTTGCCACAATTTCATCTACTGTGGTGGCTTCAACTCCAATGTCACCAAGTACTACAAACTTCAAGAGTGTTTGGACTCTACTCTGACATGGTAAATCCCATATGGGTTCCAGCCAGAAGGATTCTGATATACAGATAATTATCCTTTATATTACTATGTCTTGTGGACTGTTTCACTCCAATACCCTATTTAATACTACAGAAAACCAGGTATTTATCTTTATGACAGTTTCTATAAAGCCCCTAGCCATGTAACTGGAATAGAATATAATTCCCTTAATATAATCTAGTTTTCAAATCCCAAAATGGTTATGCTTAAAGTTTCAACTGCTTTTCTACTGTTTTAGTCCTTACTGGGAGGAGAGAGATGATTTAATTAAAATGCCAAAATGCTTATAACATATTCTGATAGCAAAAAATGAACAGCATAGCTTTAAGCATATTTTAGTTATTAACAAGGCCATTAAATAATACACCTTTTTATCTTTCTTTTTAATGTAGCCAGAATTATGGCAGTTTTTCTTATTGTTTAGCCATATTCCAAATGCCTCCCATTAGGACCAGTGTGTAGCCACAAATACAGCCTCTGGATAAAAAGAAAATTGAAGAAAATTATTATTGAAAGAAAGTAAGCCTTTTCTCTGTAAAGAAAAAATTAAAAAAAAAAAAAAACATTTTAAATAGCACAGAAAGCATTATTTTTTATTACTAACTATTCCATCTTATGCAAACTGGACCAACAAAGCTCCATAAAGGGTAGTCCAAAAAAGAGTAATTGTAAATAAAATATTTAATGGACTTTTAATCAAAGAGCTGAATTATAATTGATGAACACTTTGTAATAGATTGATGAGTACCTTAAAGCTACTGAGAAGTAGAATTTCACTTTTTATAATAAAAGAAAACAACACATTCATCTCTCTTTCCCCAGTTATACCCTCTTCAGAGATCTCAGCTCTTTCTAAAGTCCATTTATGGAATACTCTTATACCAAATACAGCCCAATGCTAAAGCAGCTGTTCTAACAAAATATCCCAAAATTTCATTTCCCACTATTTGTAGGGACCAAACAAAATGCTAAACCCATCAAAAAAAAGAGAACGTAACTATCAACCTTAACTCCAAGTTCATGCTTATCAGCCATCAATGAGCCAAGCTTTTCAAGTATCATAAAGACATATGTGTTCCAGTATGGCCTGCTCAGGGAAATGTATAAACAGATGGTCATGAATTTTATTCCCAATGTATTCTGATGTTTTAGAAATCAGGGATTAGGCCTAAAAGGGCATATTTCTGGCCCAAGAACCATTAAATTTAGTACTTGAAAATGTGAGACTCAAAAGCGATAAAGGAGCACTGGTGGCGTACTGCCTAAGGCATCTGACTGCTAACCAGAAGGCTACTGGTTCAAACCCACCATCCACTCCTCAGAGGAAAGACTGGGCAATCTACTTCCATAGAGATACTGCCTCAGAAACCCAAGGAGGGGTCAACTATGAGTCAAATCGACTCCACGGCAGTGAGTTTGGGTTTTTTTTTTTTTTTTTGGCAAATGCAATACAGGACTTTTAGAAGAAACCTTAAAGAGATGATAAAGCCTTATAGGTCTAGCCCATTTGTCTATCAAAATCATCTAGAGAGAGACCTTCCAAAAACTAAAGATGCCCTAAGAGAATTTCTGGAGGTAAGCCCCAGACATCTATTTAAAAACCTTCCAGGTGATTCTTTTTTTTATATTATATTGCAGTGAAAATATACATAACAAAACTTCCACCAATTCAACAATTTCTACAGGTTAACACTGATTATAGTCTTCATATTGTGCAAGCTTTACTGCTATCCTTTTTATTCTACCAACATTAGCATAAACTCAAAGCTCTCTAAGCAAAACTCCCCCATCCTCTTCCCTCCCACCCCTGGTAAACACTAATTATTTTTGGTTTCTATACACTTGCTATGAGTGAAGATGACTTGAAGCACTTATTGATGAAGATTAAAGACTACAGTCTTGATTATTGACTGACTACAACTCAGCATAAAGAAACCAAAACTCCTCACAACTGGACCAAAAAGCAACATCATGATAAATGGAGAAAAGATTGAAGCTGTTGGGGATTTCATTTTACTTGGATCCATAATCAGCATTCATGGAAGCAGAAGTCAAAAATCAGACATCATATTGCACTGGGCAAATGTGCTGCAAAAGATTTCTTTAAAGTGTTAAGAAGCAAAGATGTCACTTTGAAGACTAAGGTGTGCCTGAGCCAAGCCGTGGCATTTTCAATCACTTCATAAAAATGTGAAAGCTGGACAATAAGTAAGGAAGACCAAAGAAGAGTTGATGCCTTTCAATCATGGTGTTGAAAAAGAATACTGAAAATACCATGGACTCCCAGAAGAACAAACCAATGTATCCTGGAAGAAGAGCAGCTGGAATGCTTCCTGGAAATGAGAATGGCGAGACTTCATCTGGTGATGATATCAGAAGGGACCATTCCCTGGAGAAGGATATCATGCTTGGTAAATTAAAGGGTCAGCGAAAGAGGGGATGATCCTCAACAAGATGGACTGAACCTATGGCTGCTACGATGGGTTCGAGTATAATAAGGATTGTAAGGATAGTGCTTACAATCTGCCGGGCAGTGTTTCGTTCTGTAGTACATGGGGTCGCTATGAGTGGGAGCCACCTTGATGGCACCTAACAACAACAATATATTTGCTTATTTCATATAAGTGAGATCATACAGTATTTGTCCTTTGTAACTGACTTATTTCTCACAGCATGATGTTTTCTAGGTTCAAACATGTTGTGGCATGCATCAAGACTTCATTTCTGTTTATGGCTGATTAATATTCCACTGTATGTACATAAAACATTTTGTTTATTTATTCAGCTGGTGATGTACACTGAGGCTGTTTCTACATTTTGACTATAGTGAAAAATGCTGCTATGAACATTGGTGCACAAGTTACCATTTGCCTTCTTACTTTCACTTCTAAGTATATATTTAGAATTGGGATTGCGGGATCACTTAGTTCTGTTGTTGTTGTTATGTGCCGTCAAGTCGGATCTGACTTATAGCGATCCCTCCTTCGGTTTCTGAAGTATATCACTACATAAGTAGACTGCCCATTCTTCCTTCCGAGGAGTGACTGGTGGGTTTGAACTGCCAGCCTCTGCTCAGCAGTCAAGTGCCTTAGGAACTATGCTATTTTTGACAAACCACCAAACAGTTCTCCCCAGCAGCTATACCATTTTACATTTCCACTAGCAATAGATGAGGAAACTAGTTTTTCCACAATCTCAACAAGATCTATTATTTTCCGTTTGTTTTTTTTTTCCGGGGGGGATGGAGTGGTCACTGCCATTCTAATTGGCGTGAGGTGGTACTTCACTGTGGTTTTGATTTGTATCTCTTTGATCGTTAACAACTTTGAACATCTTTTCCTGTGCTTGCTGTCTATCTGAATATTCTCTTTGGTGAAATGTCTGTTCAAGTACCCATGACCATTTTTTAACTGGGTTGTTTGTCAAAACTCCCAGGCAATTCTGATGCAGCTAAGGTTAAACCACTAAGCTAGTCATAAACTTCTTCCACTGAGAAATGAATGTATATCAAGAGGAAGTTTTAAAAACTATAAGCTTTAATAGAATACCACAAAGACCAAAAGCATTTACTATTTCATGAAATAGATCTGCAATGTCAAACCTTTTGGTCATCTCAATGACAGCCAGATTTGGAATCCAAGTTCCAGGCTTACTTCAATATGCCAAGTATTTATAACCCACTTCAGTATAACATTCAACAAATATTTATTGAGCAACTCTATGCAGGGCATTATTTTTAGGCACAGATACTAAAAAGGATTAATAAAATTTAGTCTCTGTCCCCGGGAGCTCTGGTAGCATAGTGCCTAAGGCACTTGACTGCTAACCAGAAGGCTGGTGGTTGAAACCCACCAGCTACTCCTCGGAAGGAAGATGGGGCAATCTACTTCCGTGGTGCTACTGCCTCGGCAACCCAAGGAGGGGTCACTATGAGTCGGGTCCAACTCAACGGCACACAACAACAACAACAGTCCCTGTCCCCAAGAAGCATATAGTCTGATAGAAGAGACAGACATGGAAACAGATCAATTCGATTTAATAAATACTGAATTAGTGACATAAATAAAGATACATAGAATCAAAAAGCGTTGAGTAACCAAACTTAATGCAGAATAAATAAATGTAGGCTGGCTTATCACATAACTGGGTATGATATATAATGGCTATACAACTCAGCAACGTCTAATACTGAGTATCATCTGTAGGACCAAGTATTAGTCCATAGGGAGGGAAAAAAAACAAACTCACTGCCATCGAGTAGGATCCAACTCATAGCGACCCCTTCTTGAGTTTCTGAGGCAGTATCACTATGGAAGTAGATTGTCCAACCTTCTTTCCAAGGAGTGGCTCGTGGGTTTGAACCACCAGCCTTCTGGTTAGCAGTCAAATGCCTAAGGCACTACACCACCAGAGCTCCCAGTCCACAGGAAAGTAAGAAGAAAAAAATGAGGAACCAAACCAAATCAAACTCACTGCTGTTGAGTCAGATCCGACTCACAGCAACCCCTCCCCTTGGACATCCAAGGTGGTATTGCTACGGAAGTAGATCACCCAATCTTCCTTCTGAGGAGTGGCTGTTGGGTTTGAACCGCCAGCCTTCTAGTTAGCAGTCAAATGCCTTAGGCACTACGCCACCAGAGCGCCCCCCCAAAAAAAGAGGAAAAACATGTTAAAAGGAGAAAAGGGGGAGTTTGTCAGGCACAAGCAGACAGGGAGGTATTTGTTTCTATTCAAAAGAAAACTCTCATGAAAACTAACTTTATAAGTCTAAGGTATCTCAGCCATTAAAGTTTATAACCACATGGGCTACACTGAGGAATAAAAAAAAATAAGCATTAAACCTTCACACACAAGGTTAAATTCTATTTCCATAGAGAAGCCTTTCTTGACCTCAAATAACCTGTTCCACACCATCAATTGGTTCATGGACTATTTCATTGTAATCATATTTACCACAACTAAATCCTACATATTTATTTGTGTAATTAACATCTGCCCACCACCACTATACTGTAACCTCCCTGCGAACAGAAACCATGCCAACTTTGCATACTATATACATACCTAGCACTAGCAAAGCAACTAGTACATAATAAACATGCAATACCTACTCAATGAATGAATGAGTACATGAGGAGTAACTAATGAGCTCAGGGACGATCTCACTCACACACTCACTCACTACCATAGAGTCGGATCCGACTCATAGTGACCCCTCCTTGGGTTGCTGAGGCAGCATCACTACGGAAGTAGATTGCCCAACCTTCCTTCCAAGGAGTAGCTGGTGGGTTTGAACTGCCAGCCTTCTGGTTAGCAGTCAAATGCCTTAGGCACATGCCACCAGAGCTCCTCAGGGATGATCTATATTGCTTATATTCAAAATGTTCTTGTGGTGGTTAAGCCTGTGTGTCAACTTGGCTGGGTCTGGTTGAGTGGCTGGGCAGCTGAATGTAGTATTCCCCATGATGAGACTGGTAACCAACTCCATGGTGGAGTCTACTGGAGCAGCTGAGTAGCTGCTTTTGGGTATGTGCTCTGCTTCCCATATATATGAAGGCTTGGGGAATGGTCTCTAGCTTATGGCATGCTTGATCCCTGCATGTAGCCATGTCGTTATTCAGCAGCCTGCCCTGCTCTGCCGACCTTGGGAGTTACAATGGACTAAAATTAATGGCCTGTTGTGTGGTTTGGCAACATCGAGACTATGCCATTTTATTTGTTGACCTTGGGCTTATTATTAGCCTCAGCAGCCAGTAACTGCCTGAGTGAAGAGATGCCTCTAGCTTCAGTGGGACGGGAGCTGGAGGCAGAACTGAAGCCCAAGGTCGAGGGGCTTTCACACAGCCCCTAAAGCCTGGCATTTTAATTTGGACTTAAAGCCTCCAAACCATACGAGAATAAACTCCTGTTTGTTAAAGACATCCCATTTGTGGTATATTCTTGTCAGAGCAGCACTAGGTAACCAAAACAGTTCTTTTCCCAAAGTAGAAAAGAACTGATAAAGTAGGCCATTATGAAGTATAATTACACAAAATTTCAATACTTCTATGCATATTATTAGCATCTGAATAAAGCAGATACATTTTCTGCCTTAAAGTTTTATGGAAGCTCAGAAACTTTAGTGTTCTACTCTCATCTCTAAAGAATACCTGACATTTTCAGCCACTGGTCCACACACAGTCTTGCTGCTTCTGTATCAGAATGTCCTTGAATAAATTCCAATTCTTGCAACCCATGAGCATGCTGAAAATCAACTTTTTCCTAAAAATATTAAAAAAAACCCATTAACCTAATGCTCACTTTCCTGGTTTCTCTGAAAGAAAAATTTTGACACATCAGTGATCATAAAACTATCCTTTATTCCTGGAACTTCATATTTAAAAACCTATCACAAAGAATTAAGTCAAAGTAAAGATTCATGCTCTAAGATGTCAATTCCAAAGTTTCCTCTATTTGCACAAAGTTCACTACAATCTACAAATCCAAGAAGAGGCTACTGGCTAAGGAAATTGTGGCACAAACATTTGATAAAAGTCTTTAGAAACACTAGCCAAGACTTCAATGATGTGGGAATATACTTTTGACACCAACATAACCAAACTGTATAAAACATATGGACCAAAATATAAGTAAAGAATAATTTCAATCTACATAAAACTACATTTGCAGAGGGGGAAAAAAAGGCTAAAAATAAATATGTTAAATGTTAATAAATTTATCTCTGGTAGGAGAGCGGTGAATAGTTTTCATTTTAAACTTTTACACATTTTTTCCAAATTTTCCATATATAGTCTGGAAAGTCTATATAGAAAAAGCCTAATAAATATTTATTTGTTAGTGGATAGTATTAACAACAAGAGACATACATATAATATTTAGTATGTGCCAGACAATATATAAAGCAGATGGTAAACTTTTTCCATATAGGGCTAGACAGTAAATATTTTAGGCCTTTCAGACCATACAGTCTCTGTTGCAATGACTCAACTCTGCCATTATACTGTGAAAGTTGCCACAGACAATATGTAAATAATTGTGACAATGTTCCAATAAAAATTTATAAAAACAGGCATCAGGCTGGATTTAGCCTGCAAGCCATACTTTGCCAATCTATGAACTTTATCTTTTAAAATTTTGCTGAACATCTCTAATCTTTCTTATTATTTATAAATCTATTTGCACACACTCTAATCATGGTGAATATAAAAGCATTTACTAACCACTTACCATGTGCCGACCTGTTCTAAAAGCACATTACATTTAATTCTCACAATAACTCTCTAAGATAGGTATTACTATTTCTCTCATTTTTACAATGGAAAAATTGAGGTACAGAAAGGTCAAGTAAATTGCTCAAACGCTAGGATTCAAACTCTGGAAAGCTGATTCTAGAACCCATGCTCTTGATCACTGTACCATGTTTTTGTTGTTGTATGCAGTCCAGCAGATTCTGCCTCATAGCAACCCTATGAACAGAGAACTGCCCCATAGAGTTTCCTAGGCTATAATCTTTACAGGAGCAGACTGCCTGGTCTTTTCTCTCTCAGAGTACCTGTTGGGTTCAAACAACCAACC